AGGGGTGGGCGCTCGGAGCGGGGGTGTGCAAGGGGTGGGTGCTCAGGGTGAGGGGTGGGTGTTTTGGGCGCGTGTGAGAGGGGTGCTGTGTGTGCAAAAGGTGGGTGCTGCGAGTGAGAGGTGGGTGCTCTGGGGGGTGTGTGTGTGCAAGAAGTGGGTGCTGCGTGTAGGAGTTGGGTGCTGTGGGTGGGTGTGTGCGAGAGGTGGGTGCTCTGGGTGAGAGGTGGGCGTTTTGGGTGCATGGGAGATGGGTGCTGTGTGTGCAAGAGGTGGGTGCTGCAGGCGAGAAGTGGGTGCTCTGGGGGTGTGCGTGTGCAAAAAGTGGGTGCTGTGTGTAGGAGTTGGGTGCTCTGGGTGGGTGTGTGCAAGAGGTGGGTGCTGCGGTGAGAGGTGGGTGCTCTGTGTGTGTGTGTGTGTGTGTGTGTACAAGAAGTGGGTGCTGTGAGAGGGAGTTGGGTGCTCTGGGTGCATGTGTGTGTGAGAGGTGGGTGCTGCGTGGTAGCGGTGGGGGCTGCGCGTGAGCAGCGTGGGACGGGTGGGACAGGAGCCGGGCACCCAGCGGCAGGAGCGGGGCAGGAGACAAGCCCAGCCATGCCATGGGGTGCAGGGGGGGGGGGGCCCCCCCCTGCCTGTGCAGGGGCTGGGGTCTCCCATGGGAGCACCGTGGTCCCTCCAGCCCAGCACGCGATGCCGGTCTGTGCCAAACCGCTGTGCCAGCGCCGATTTGCCCCTCTGAGCAGCCACCCCCTCCGTCGCCCTGTGTTCCTGCTCCCGGCAGGCCGAGGGCACCCATCCTCCCTGTCCATCCTGCACCCACTCCCCGCAGGGACCCCAGCACCCACTGTCATGCTTGGAGGGGTGACAACCCCTCAGAGCTGAGCGCTGAGCCCGATTTTCCGGGTGACCTCACGCCTTCCTCCCCATCTGCAGTAACCGGGGGGCCCAGCCCGAGCTGTCCAGGCGGTTGGAGGATGGCACGGCACTGCCTTCATCCGAGCTGGCAGCTCCGCGGGGCAGCTGCGCTCCGCCGCACGCTCAGCCTGGGAGGGAGCCCCGCGCCGGAGCTGCGGCCCCGCTGACATGGCCGGTTGGAGCCGCGGCCGTGGGGTTCGGGGTTCTTGGCCGTGGGTGTCGCTCCCAGCAGTCCTGGGGCCAGCAGCCCCATGGGGCCATGGCTGCGTGCCCCCATCCCCGCGGCAGGGGGAGGCGGGAAGGGGCTCCCACCAGGGACCTAATCCCAAAGCGCTGAGCAGCGATGCCGTCCCCGATGCCATCCCCGATGCCATCCCCGCAGGGATTGGCTGATGGTTAATCCTGGCTCCCAGCAGGACCTGCTGATGGGAGATGTGCCGTGCCGGCTGGGTGCATCAGGCACCCTGTGGATGCTGGCCCTGTGGCGCTGCCCCACGTGGGTCCCCAGGGCCCTCGGGGGATGCTCTGCCTGTCCCCGCGGATGCAGCGTGGCCAGAGAGCCCCTGGCAGTGGTGGGTGTTGGGTGCCACAGGACCACTCCGCGCCCTTGCACCCATAGATGGGTGGGGAGGCTGTGGTGTGGGGTGGGGGTGAGCATGGGGGACAGGGGTGTCTCTCCTCTGTCCCACTGTCCCATCTGCACATGGCTGAGCAAGTAAAACCCTCGGGGTGACACTTTGCTGCCTCTTCCTCGCTTGGGGGCCAGTGGCCGGCAGCACGGCCCTGGGTGTGGGTGGGATGCGGGCTGGGCGACGACAGGGCTGGGTGAGGGTGCTGGGGGGGTTCCTGCTCCACACAGGGACCCTGCACTCCCTCCCCCAGCCTGGGCCTGGGGTCACCCAGTGATGCTGGATGCACTGGGACACACAGCCCCAGCCCGGGCACCCGCCCCCTGCACCCACACCCGCCCCCAGCACCCACGCCACCCCGGGGCAGACGCGCACCCGTGGGCCCCGGGGCTGCCAAGTCCCCATGCGCCCAGGCATGATGTCACCCGTTGCCATGGCGATGCTGCTGCATCACTGCGTTGCAGCGCGCCCCGATCCAGGGATTTCCGCAGGGGCTGCACAGCGTGGGCAGCGGGATGGGGTGCCGGCACCCTGGGGGGTTGTAGGGCGCACGGGTGCTGCTGCATGCCCCCACATGGGTGGCAGCACCCCCTGCCCGCGGGGAGCTCCCTGCCCACGTAGGAAATGTTCCTAAGCTGCCTGGGGGTACGGGGCTAGCGGGCACCGGCGGTGGGCGCAGGATCAGGGCAATGATGGGGCATTAGCCAGCACGTGCACCCACCGCATGTGCCAGCATCCTGTGGTGTGCCAGGGCACGCACCGGCCCATTCACGCCGTGCCCCTCGCACCGTGCCCGTGGGATCTGTGCCACTCTCTGTGGCATGCCCGGTGGCACACGGGTGGGCACTGAGTCTGTGCCGGAGCCGGCCAGTGCCCGCCGCACCGGGAGGATGGCGTGGGCCAGGGTTCTTGCCCGCACAGCTGCCCTTTGCCCTGTTGCACCACCTGCAAGCAAACAGCTCTCACAAGAAATATTCCCAGCGACTGGAAAAATAAACAGCGCGGGGGCTGCCAGCTGCTCCCCGCACCCGGGGTTGGGGGGACGGGGCGGGGGACAGGGCACAGCCACCACCCCGTGGCCACGCTCCAGCCAGGCGGCTGGGTGCTGCTCCCGCTCCGCCACCCTCGCGCCCTCGCTCCCGGGCCTGGCCACGGGGTCACCAGCCCTGGGGACCTTGGAAGGAGATGTCCCCTTGTGCTGACCCCGGGCAGGCGATTTGTCACCCTCACCTGACACGGCAAAGCCGCAGCACCCTGGGCACGGTGAGCAGGGACCAGTCCGGCGGTGACAGCCTGGTGGCAGGGGCCGGCTGCAGGCAGTGCGGATGCTGCCGGGCGCGTGGCCGCGGCCAGTGGGCGGTGGGGGTCTCGGGCGTGGGCACCCCCCGACACCTGGGGCCACGCTCTGACCCTGCTTCTCGCTTCTCTCGTTGCCGAAGGGGCTGAGGCTGCCGAGCCGAAGAGCGTAAGTCCCCAAGCTGGGCTACCCGGGGCGTGGGACGGGGTGTCACCGGGAGGGACGCGCTTGGGGACGCGGCACGGGGGCAACGGGGATGGTGGTGGGTGGCACCGGGGCTTGTTGTGCCCACATCTGGGATGGCATCGCCGTGTTCTCTGATACTGGAGGGACCTGATGTGTGTGTGCTGGGGTGTACTGGGATGTACTGGGGTGCGCTGTGCTCTGCTGCAGGTGTATTAGGGTGTATTGGAGAATTCTGGGGTGTTCTAAGTGGTATTGGAGTGTACTGGGATGTACTGGGGTGTGCTGTGCTCTGCTGCAGGTACATTGGGGAGTGCTGGGGTGTTCTAAGCAGTATTGGCGTGTACTGGGATGTGCTGGGGTGTGCTGTGCTCTGCTGTAGGTGTATTAAGGTGTACTGGGGTGTGCTGGGGTGTACTGGGATGTACTGGGGTGTGCTGTGCTCTGCTGCAGGTGTATTAAGGTGTACTCGGGTGTTCTGGGGTGTTCTAAGCAGTATTGGAGTGTACTGGGATGTACTGGGGTGCGTTGTGCTCTGCTGCAGGTACATTGGGGTGTGCTGGGGTGTTCTAAGTGGTATTGGGGTGTACTGGGGTGTACTGGGGTGTGGTTGGAGTGTACTGTTCCAGGGTGTTTTGGGGTGTTGCGGAGGTGATGCGAGGGGGCTCGGCGCTGGGCTGGGGCTCTCGGGGGGTCACGGGGCTGTGTGCTGGGGGGACGTAGGGGCTGTGCTGGGGCCATACTGGGGCTGTGCTAGCCATGCACTGGAGGGGCACTGGGGCTGTTAGGGATGCACTGGGGCTGTACTGGGCCTGTACTGGTGCTGGCTGCGGTGTCTCAGCACCGCCAGCGCGCCGGCGCATCCCGGGAGCCGGAC